CAATGTGAAACCCACCTGCAGTTTGGTGGGGGGTCCAGTGTAATGTCGGCCAGCTCTTTCTGAATCCTGCACACACACACAAGCATCACAATCAATCTCCATGAAAACAAAAAAAAAGGGGTTTCTTCTCTTAGTCACATACTATAAATAAATCTGTCCATTTATTCAGTGTTACCAATGAAACGGTGTGACTGAGTAAGTGGTTTCATGTTACATAGAGTTGTGTAAAAAAGGGGAAGCGCCGTCATCTTTTCTACTCGGTTACAGTCTGAGTTCCTCTTCTGCCACTGTCTTCTTTCGATATGACTGTTGAGTGATGATGCATTGTGCGGTCCTTGTTTTACACTTTGCAGGCATCACATCTCATTGCCTGTGAAAAGAGCTCCAGAATTTCTACCACATATGACTTGTTCGTATAGAAAAGGGATGGGTGACCGGAGCTGCGTCCACATGGCCGATCCGAATAAAAACGTGTGAGCTAATCAGAGCAAATTTTAAATCAAACCCTGTGAGGTGGTTCTTTTAAATAAATATAAATGGTGAAATCCAATCCATGAATTAGAGAGTGAAATCCTTTCATCTAAGGTAATATGTCAACTCAAGGCTCATGGACCACTTATCTATTTATGTATGTATGTATTTATTGATAATTTTTCCAAGTCCCACCGTGCACAATAAGACAGAACATCAGGTCAATATTAAGACCTGGACACACAGTGGAAGCTTCAGAGGGCAGAAGAGACTAGAAAGCTGCTTTCTCAAAGCCAAAAATCCCTGAATGGAGCTGCTGTTTTGCAAACCTTTTTAGTGGAGGAAATGAATTGTTGCAGCTATTCATATTCCTGGATAAAACAGTTTTTAGACTGTTTTATAAATGACAATTTATTCTGCCCCTGACTGACAGGGATTTAGACAGTCTTTAGCTAACTAAACTAGTGAAACTTTATTGAGAAATACAGCCACTGTGGTTAATCGGTCATCAGTTTTTCACGGTTATATTAAATATTTCCTCAATAAGTGAAGTGCATTTTGCATTTGAACAGTTTGTGATCACTGGTGGAGACTAACTGGTGCCTAGCTTGTGCGCAAAGTCATATTTTGTCATCTTGTATGTTAATGAGTTAGTTTCACTGCTTGGGACTGAGCATTTTCACTTTACTGTACGTGAGCTGGGCTCTCAGAATGTGGCCGCGTTAATTCTGAAATTTAACAACTATATTCATAGAGATTAGCAGCCCCAGATGAGGGATTCATGACTACTTTATTTTGTTTTACTTTGTATAGAGTAATAATGTTGGTTCAGACTGCTCGGACAGGATGTGGGACGTTGAGTCTCACCTTTTGGCGCTGGTGGAAAGCAGTTTGGAGGTTTTGCTCATGCTGGCTTTGCTGTCCCGTTTCTTCTTGAAAGATGTGTCTCTCAGTCTGGTTTGGCTTGAGGAAGGTGGCGACGAGGAAGAGCTGGTGCTGGCACGGGAATCCTCATCCGACATACCGGTCTGGATTGGAGAAGAGCCGGGACCTGATGCAGACAAAGGTAGATAGGGTTAATGGTCATTTATTATCAATGACAGCCAACCTATTTTCCCCGTAAATCTCTAGATTAGACAGTGAATGATCATTTTACAAAAGCCTGACAGAAACTATAAAAGCTAATTGGGTTTTTAAGATGGCTTCATGTGGCCACTAAAACTAACGTTACTGCTTGAATTCATATGGTTAAAATGTTAAAACCTCAATAATTACATACAAAAAAACAGTTAAATGGAAATCAAAACACAGCCTTCATTTAGCTCTATAGGTGTATTAAGTATTAAAGGGCTTGTGTATCAGACGAAATTTACCTCAACTTCAGCCTTAACCTTTAAACTGGAAGCGAAATTAAATTGTATATTTTTCTTTCTGAAAGCTAAGTTGTTTGTTTACTTAGATCGTGTTTCTTTCTCTCGCGAGATCTCGCAATACCGGTTGGGTTTTGTGAGTTAGTTTAACGTTAGCTAACGTTTTCCGTGACGGTTAATAACGAAGTGTCGTTAGCCGAGAAGCTAACTAGCCTTAATACGCGTGAGGAAGTTAACTGTTTCATAACTGTTTATTCGTCTAAAAAACCAGCCCATTAAGGGTTGAGTGTAAATAGATTTAGATGATTAGGCAGTTCATCCCCACCAGATATACCTGCTAACGCCCCCCCCACCACCACCACCTTTATCAACTCCAAATGGCAAAAAAATACTCAGGCCCCTTGACTTCTGCGGAGGAAACAGAATAACCTTTTATCAAACACGGGTTGTATTTTTCATAACGTATCACATCGCATTGTTGCGAGTCACGACAGACGAAGTACAAATGTAAATATTAGGCGGATACATTAGGGGCGCGGGCAATAGACGGGCCCGGTCTGCTCCAGCAAATAGCCGGAGCCCTTCCCCGAGCGAGCGACTAAACCCAAACGCGTTGTTTGTCTTTTTTTTTTTCTACGCAGTTGGCTTTCGAAACAACCGGGAGAGCAAACGGGCGGCGAACCCGCACACGTACCCCGGTTTGCACGCCTAAAAATATCACGCCTCCGAAATGTTTATCCTGCCCGCTGACCGAAAAAAACTTACCCAGTCTATTGTGTCTGGAGCTCCGCCACCGTCGAGGCTGGCTGCTGCCTGTCGCCCTCTGCGGAACGGAAGTGGCTCACGGCGGCTTCGCTGGGCCGGGAAGCACCGCTCCCGCAGCGGAACCGGGCCAGACTGCCCATTAATCCC